CCACTACCATCATCATGCATCTAAAGGGCAAATATATTTTAGCACTTCTTTTTTTAACGTTGCTTTTTGAAATAATTATTTTGTTTGCTGAAGACACTCTGCTCAGTTGGAGACATGGGTAGCCATTGCCCCAGGAATCTTCCAATGTGATGCCTTGAAACAGCATCTTCTCTGAGAATCTTAGTCTATTACCTAGTGGACTTTCTGGAGCACCATGAACCTAATTTTGTCCGAGTCAAAGAAACATCTCCAGTTATTGCTTTGGAGCAGGTAGTGAATGGCCACTTTATCTGTGCCACTCTCCAAGTAGAGAGAAAAAGAGGTGAAAATACATCAAAAATGACCTAAAAGGATCTGCTCCAAGAAAAAAAAATGATAAGGGAAAAAAAAAAGAGTAATTTGCATTCTAGGTCAAATCAATCCATATGCTTTCCATTAAGAATACTAATTGTGATAGCTTTCCTGAGCTGGAAGCTACGTGACAGAGACAAGAACGATGCTACAAACTTGCTATCAAGAACATGTACAGAGATTAAGCCTCAGATTTCAGACCTTCACTGTCAGTCTGCTTTAGTGCCAATACAGTCTCATACGGGTAATATGTTTCAGACAAAGAAACCACAAACTTTGTCTTTGTCTTTTTTGGGGGGAGGGGGATATGAGAGAAGTAGAGGGGGAGGCCACATTTATTAGCCCTCAGTGCCAGGCTGAGTACTATCATTTGACTTGACAAATTCTTGCACTGTGCTGACTGCCTTAAGTACTTAAATATCTTAAATGAGCCTGCAGATGCCCTTGTTCTAGACCTTTTCCCAATTCTAAATTATCTTCCATTATGAGTAACTTGTCTTTGTCTGCTGGTGATATCTATTTACAACTATCTTGGTAAAACTCATCAAGTTTCTGGCATAATCACTAACAGCAGCATGTGTACAGTTCAAGCAAATTTCCTTTAAAAGCCTGAAATATAGTTTCTAGCTGACACAATCCATTTTTCTCCTTAAGCAAAGCACAGCAGGCCTTAAAAATATCACTTAACATCTTCTCTATTGGCTTCTAGCATTAAAATTAAAAATAAAAATACTGCTTTGCAAGGCCATTATATTTAACAACTGTGAAATATTTAGAGGTACAGCAGAGGCATAATAAAATTACTAATTTTGTTTACATTCTCACTTCTATCTATGAAGGTCTTATTCCAAAAAATTTAAAGCATAAATCTCTAGGTATGAAAGCAGAAATTATATTGTTCTATATTCTTAGTTTTCTTCTAATTCTTTTGCTAAAAAGATGCTTAAACATGTAGAAGTAAAGGATTCCATATTGATAAGGTGGATGGAAAGGGAATTCCTAAACCCACTGTTTATGTATCACCATTCATGCCATATCTCTTGATTCTCAGCAATATTGAGAAAAAAAATCTGAAAGACAACATACAGACAAACACTAGGCAGGTAAACACTACAAACACGGATGCGTTAATCCTACAAATCATTTGCAAAAAACTGGCAAGATTGAAGAACTGATGAGCAGAGGAATAAAAATACCAAACAAAAGCACCTCTACACATCCTAGGCAGACTAGTTGCCCCAATTTGTTCAAATTTCCTTCTCAATGAGTAGATTCAAACCTTCTTTTCCAAGACATTACCATTCCAAGTCATTACCAGGGTCAAGTGGAGTCCTTGGGGGAGAGACTTTCCTCAACTTCCACTGACTCTGTGTCTTTCCAGCTTTGTTCTCTAGCAGTTTTGCTCTCATCACTTAAAGAGCAGTAGGCACAGAGAACAAGCTCACTCAGGTTTTCCCTCAAACATATACAGCAATCCTTACAAAAGTAGAACTAAGACAATAGTTTTAAAAGATCATTACACCTCATTAAACCATGATACAATATATGGCTGAAGTGACTGCTTCATGTACTTGATCATAACAGATCTTTATTCTGTGTCAGAAAGCTGCCCTTTAAACTAAATGCCAGGAAGAAGTACTACAGCTTGGAAGTTCTAAATACTTCTTTATCTATGCAAACATACTTAAAAGATAACGTAAATTATTTTCACAAAAGTTTGTGCATATGTGTTATACCTAGTAGCAGATGCTTTATTAAAATTCTGCACAATGCCCATTAAACAAGACAAAAACAAAAAAATACAAACAAAAACTCACAACAGGATAAAGGGACTAAACTAAGAGCACTGAAGATTGCTTATTTTTATTACTTCAAAACTTCATAAACAGTACAAAACAACCTTGAGTTATTCTAAAATGATGTGTTACTGATTTTATTATTTTATTCCTGCTGTGGATAATCAGATGTTTCCTATTCCATAGTTCTGTGTAACTCAGAAAGCAAACAACAGTGTGATACATGAACCCAATGAGGGCATTAGGTACTCGAAACTGAGAGACTATTTCTGGAGTGGGATCTACAGCTCTGGGTCAGATGGGTAGCCCCTCAGCACAGTGTGAGGAGATGTGGGCACTCCAAGAAGAAATAAAAAATATCCATAACATGGAGCAGAGACACACCTGAAAGTTCAAAATGATCTTAAAGAAAACACTGACCTAGCTTCAAATATGTCTGTGTTCAGAAAGATGCTTCTGCTTTTTTTCCACCAAGGTCAAGCTTTTCCTCAAGAGTGGTGCCTACAACTTTCTCTCAAGGAACTAAAATTTCATCCTTTCCTTGCTGTGTGTAGAGGAGGTGAGCCTGACCAGGTGAATCCAGAGTGAGGAAGAAGGCAGTATAGTTCAGCCAGCAGGTGAGAGCTCTGCCCACTGCTGTGGACAATCCTGGACACAGAGGCTGCTCACGGAGTGGACTCACAGCATGCTCCACCACAGCCTTGGTCCTGACAGAGCCCTGTCAGGTCTGAGAGGTCAGAAAGATGCCTAGGAGGTGATGTCTTTGTTCCCATTTCCTTCTCTGTCCCTGTAGGGTGAAATACATGTTTTGGGACAATGTCCTTCTCACTAAGCTCTGTGGGATGTGGTGCAACACTCCGCACTGCTGATGATGAATGGTATCACTCATAGCTTCCACGGAGGCGGGAAACCCAGCCTCCTACTTACTGTTCCCAGGGTGATGTATACATTTTATATATATGAGAGCTGTATTTAATGACTGACAAATGAAAAAAAACATACAATTCTCAGAGCACGATGTAACCCCAAGACTATATCTTTTCAGATGGGTACCCTAACTACAATTAATTAAATCTTCTGGGTGGAGAGGGAATGCTTAACTTCTGGATTCCAGTGAAACTTAAGCTTAAAACAAGTACCATGCTATGGTCCATCACAACTGCATTGGTGCAAGTCTTGAATAACTTTAAAGGCAAAAAGGCATCAACAGAATTAAAAGGAGCAACCAGGGTGAGTTGGCAGCAGCTGAGTTAATATTTTCAGTATTTCAGTTCTGAATTTTGGCAACTGTGTTTCACACAATCTACTTTCATGAATCAGTAATGAAAGTGTAAATTCCAGAGCATCTGTATACTGGGCAATCCTAAAGATGTCCCCTCTTTTTATAGGACCAAAATATTTATAAACTAGAGTAATTAAAATAAAATGTAGTTGTACATTAAGCCATCTGTTTATGTAACTCTGGAAGGTTATCTTTGTTTCTTATCCCTTTAAATTAGTAATATTTTCATCAAAATATTGTGCTATGCATTTTCCTTTAATTGACAAAGGCACCCCAAACTGCACAGCAACTTTTTTTTCCAAGTAATTTGGAAAAAAAAAAAAAAGTCATGGTTGTGCAAACCATTTTCAATTACTGACCTTTAATTAGAACCAGCATTACAAAGGATTATTCCTATTTTGTATGTGGATCCACCAAGCGAGAGTGAAGAAACGTGAAATGTCACCACACAGAAGTCCAAAAATACTTTAGCTGCACTAGTTATTTTGTACTGAAGTGGTTCGCTGCAACAGAAGCTGTAGCTACTTATTGGTTAACAAAGTAGCCATAAAAGTGAATTTAGAATTTTTGAGAGCTGCTAGCTGAAGTTACTGCCACTAAATATTTTCAACAAATATGTATAAGAGTTGACTATATTTTTTTTTCTTCTTCTTAAACGGAAATTGAAAATCAAGTACACTCCAGGTTTCTCAGATCAGCTTCCTGGACTCAAATTCATCTAGGTGGAGCACAGCTCCACCCCTTGTCCACCAGTAGCAGCATGTACCACATATGAAAGAAAGTAATCGCAAATATTTTAGCAGCTATGCATGTCACAAGTTATTTCTAAACACTTAAAAATATCAGCTGGCAGGAAATTATGTATCATCCTGTACCAACACATTGTGAAAACGGCTCTTCTCTATATTAAGAGAGTTAATTGTTTCTCTCTTGCCTAATATATCATTCCTAGGACCATTAATCAATAGCTTTCTAAGTTTTAGGTTAAAGCATAATATTGAACATAAGGTTTGGGGCTCACAGCAGAATTACCAGAATTACAGGTTAGGACTCTACCAAGAAGCCTCAGTGTCCAGTTCCCGTGAGTAAATACAGTGAACAACCTGGGCTAAGAGAGACCAAATAAGTAAGGGTGAGATTTGGATGCCAGAATATAAGTTAACAGCACATACATCACACTCAGGGTCCTTTTCACAATGGCTTTTTTAAAATCCATCCTCAGCCAACTCATTCTTCTCCTTCCTGAATCAGGTACATTCAGGGGATAGAAAAATAAATAAATAAATAAAACTTAAGATCTAATTCTGGGAGGATTCTTTGCTTTACACAAAGAAGCAGGAAAAGTTTGGCGGAGCTGGTAGGAATGTTAGAGTCCCGCGCGATGAGTTTGAGGATATGGAAATCCAGGTGCTCCCGGTGCTGAAGGGGCCGCAGGATCCGCGCGTCCCACGGGACGCGGACCGGGAAGGGGGAAGCGCCCCCTCCAGGAGCGCCCGCCCAGCCGGGGAAGCGGCACCGGCCCTCGGGGGCGGCGGGGACCGGCGCGGCTCGAATCCCTCTCCCCCAATTACCTCGATGTACGGGACGATTTTGCAGGAGAAGTCCTCGAGGAGCCACTTCTTGGTGAGCTCCTGGAAGATGACGAGCGGCAGGCAGAAGAAGACGATGAGGAAGTCCCAGAAGGCCAGGTTGGCGAGCAGGGAGTTGGAGATGCTCCGCATGTAGTAGTTGTGGCACACGATGCACATCACTGCCATGTTGCCCATGATGCCGATGCCGAAGATCACCACGGAGAGGCACATGACGGCGTAGGCGCCGTACGACTCCTCGGTGAGCGGGTAGAAGGGGTTGCGCAGCCGGGCGCGGCGCCCCGTGCCGTTGCCGCGGGCGCCCGCGCTGCCCTCGGCGGCCGAGCCGTTGAGCGGCAGCGAGCGCGGGCCGCCC